TGGAGAGAAAAATAATTCCGTTTGATATACATTCCTATTTTTTTACATCACTATTGACTGCATCTTTACAGCTTGAGAGAAGCAAATTAAATATATAAGGATTTGTGTTAAGAGAGAAATTTTTGTGTTGTCAAAGTATCAGAGTGGCTTGTTGTCAAGCCACCTTTGGGCCATGGCAAAGCATTCTTCAGGCTGGTACTCTGGAGCAGTATGACCTCCACCCTGCACAAGCAAGCGATTATGAACTCTATTACAGCTGTGACATAATGGTTCAATGGACAAGAAGCATGATCTAAAAGAGGAAAACAAGATCACCTTTACTGTTGCAAAGGTCAACTTATTTGCATATGTGATGGTAAATCTGCAAAGAAAGAAACAATGTATTGCTCATCAGAAAAAAATGCATATGTCACGAATATCTTATTTTGCATATGCTCAAGTGCAAAAAAGGAAGTCAGGTGACTCAACCCTGCAGCCTTTCTACTAGAGTTAGTACAAAGTTGAGACACTTATCTTAAAACGGAGGAAGTACTACTATAAAGTCTTGTATAGTTTCGGAAGAGGAAATTACCTTGTGACATGTATGTTGCAATAAGTGGAATCACCTTTCCAGCGTATGAATCTCCTCCAAGGTAGAAAGGATTTGAAAGGTACTGCGGGTGATGAGTGAACCACTGCACGCATAGACAGCCAGCCATTGAGCGGTCAGTACTCAGTACTGAATTATTGACAGGGCAGTGGGCCAGCTCGATCCTCACCTTATTCAGGAATCTTTGGACTTGCAGAGAGGACGAGTAGTCTCCGACATCGCAGCCTTTGGGGTCACGAGCATACGAGAAGCCCGAGCAGACGGGCGAATCCAGGAAGATGATGCTCGCCATCTGACAGTAAACCACAAATTAAGCTACAAATATAGTAATTGAGGAAGAGAAGAAGAGAGGAAGAGAAACACGCTCAGCAATCAGCGTCATGGATGATGAGCGTCGGTCGGTCTCACCTTGGTCCATGACAGCGGGTTCTGTACCAGCCGCGGCAAAACTCCAGTGTACGGCGCCCGCACATACTTTACGGGGCCTGCGGTGCGAGACGACCATGGATTAATTCATGGATGGGCATCGATTAGCCGACTTCTTGGAGGTATTAATTTGCAACGGAAATCCGGACCGGCCGGGAGCGGCAAGCAAGAGGCTGACTGACCAACTTCGAAGGCGAAGCCGCTGAAGCCCGAGCAGCGAGGCCCGCCGGTGAGCCACAGGATGACGGGGTCGGTGCCGGGGCTCCGCTCCGACTTGGCGAAGTAGTAGAAGAGCTCCGCCCCGGTCTCCTCCTCCACGCCCACGTATCTGCAACGCACGGCATGCAACTCCGGCCATGAGAAACTCTCGCGCCCAGTTCAAGATCGTCGAACCAACAAGGACGCACTAGAGCGCGGTGGGCGCACCGTGCATATGCCAATACGCTTACCCGGTTTCGAGGTAGAAGGGGAGAGGGCCATCGAATCCTGGCAGGTGGGTGACCACCGTCGACGCCGACGCCGAGGCCGGCCGTGAGAGCGGCACAAGCAGGAGGACGGCAACGAGATGCAGCACCGGCAAGTGGTGGCGTCGCCGGGCGGTGGGCGTCCGGAGAAGCTTGGCGGGCATATTGTTCTTTCTTTCTTGCGTGCTTGCTTTTCCGGGTGCTAGCTTGTAGTTGTAGACACGGACCTCGTTTAGTAAGAACGATTGACGGATCACCTACTCACTTGTTGTTGTCATGTCACAAGAAAAAATGACGGTGTGGATCATATGCATGTCGTCACCAAGAAAGCATGCGTGATTGGCTCAACAGGCCCCAAACGGTATAGATAATGAATGTACGAAATCAGCTGAAATTTGAGTGTGCATGCGACTTTTTTACCCCTCAGTGTCCCAAATTGCTATTCATCCATGTTCCACGCATGCTTAAGATACTGCAAAAATGAGGTGAATAGAGATAAGTCTCTGTCAGCGTGCACGGCGTGCATATGTAACAAAACTGATGATGTAACGATATGCATGTCTTCTTTTTTTTCTTTTTTTTGAGTCGGCTTGCATGGAATTTGATATATGCGTACCACGACTAGATCAGAGGTAATCCAACCGATGTAACGAAGATTAAAAAATAACGGAGACATGCTAGAGTATCGTTGCCTTTTGCATGATCCTTGCTCGAGCGAGATAAGTCAACTAACACCAATTTAGTCAGTTTAAAAAAAAACACCAATTTAGTCCAGTTGCTGGACTATTAGATTTTATGCTTCCTTCTATTTTGTTGATCGAGGACGGGGCGTTGACCCATTCGCTGGGCAGCTGAGGTTGTTGCGAGCCCACCCGAGTTCAAGTCCCGGCTTGGACGCCTGGTGTTTGTGGAGTTTCTTCTATAAAAAAATGCCAACAAGGGTTAACCCTTGGGTTGGTCTCATTTTTTTACTTTGTTGATCGAATCCGGAGTTGCATGTCCGTGCCTTTATCGTGCATGATAGCACGGTCACATTTTCTAGGGGACCACGGTCACATGCCTGGTTGGGAATGGCTAGTGATGGCATCTCCTTATACCGGCCATGAGAACATGGTTTGCAATTTGTTTTTTTTCATCCAACACCGGTCTGCATCGTTCTGCCGACCGGGACCGGACGCATTTTTTTCGTAAACCCGAGACAAACTGGGGAGGGACTTTGCGGGCGTCTAGATAATTGTCACGTCCGCGTCTGACTAACCCAACCCACCAAAATACATGCGCGTAGTTGGAATGCCTTGGGAGAAGAGTCGCCGGTGAGAGCATGACGCGAAATCGCCATGGTCGTCTCGTAGCCGGGTTCTGACACCGTAGTAGCTTGCTCATCGAAGACCGCGTCCATGCCGAAGAGCTCAAGCAGCTCCTCGACGACGTGTAGTTGAACAGTAGTGGGGCACGTGTGGTCATGCCACCACCGCTCACCGCACTTGAAGCAGAGGCCCCAGGCACGCTTGTAGTCGTGCAGGGCCTTAACTTTGGACGTGTAGTGAGGGCGCTCTCGGTGCCACGACGATCCACCGCAGGGGTCGTAGCAGCTGAAGGTGGTGGTCGTGGAGGAGGTGGCAGTGGTAATGGCGCACGTCCGCAGTGATGCATCGGTGCTGCGCAGTGTAGGACGTTGCTGATGGGTAGACGCCGAGTCCACGACCTCCTCTTGCAAGAGCGCCAGAGCACAGGCCGTGTCCAAATCTGGTGGTCGCTGGATCAGCACCACCGCCCGGATGTCCTCTCAGAATCCCTCGACAAAACGAGTCAAGTAAACATGTGGATGAGTAGCATCAGAGTAGGAGGCGGGATGATTCACAATCAACTCAAAGCGCTCAATGTAATCTGCCACTAAAGTAGTTTGACGAATGGTGTAAAATTAAAATTGCCTAATCAAGAGCTGGTGTCAATCTCGACCAAATCGAGCACAAAGTAAGGCAACAAAGGATTCCCAGTCGAATTCAAAGAGCTTGCTCTGTAGCCACTGTAGCCAAATAGACGACGTTCCCGAGAAATTAAGGGCGGCCATGGGCACCCAAAAGGATGAATGGATCCCAAACATGTTGAAATATTGTTCACACACTGTTTTCCAAAGGTTTGAGGTTCTCGCCGGCAAACTGCGGAAACACAACCGAAGGATGGGCCTGACCCAACCCAGCGAGCAACTGGCTCGCGTGTGTGAAGGGAGAAGGAAGCAGAGCGAGCAACTGGAGGGAGTACCGACCAGTGCCCAGGAGGGGCGATGGCGACGTCGCTAGCACCTGCTCCCGGTGGAGAAAGGCGTTGCCGTGGTCACCAGACCCGTGTGGTCGCGCCTGCGCAGGAATTCCGGCGCCAAGGAGGACGTCGGCCACTGCTAGGCTCGGATCGGGTTGAGTCGATCCGGAAGCCGCCACACTGAGCATTGCCACCGTAGGCAGCCGCCCTTGTTGTAACTCCGTCACCGTGTTTATGCACTGGTTGATGCAGCGCTTGAGATCGGGTTGCCACGCGACCAGGTCGTCCAACTTGGCCGTGTGCGCGTTGATCGCGGCTGTGTTGCCGCGGAGCTCGAGGCAGAACTCGTCCATGGAGCTGCTGATCTTCACCATGTACTCCTTCATGGTAGGATCCATGGCCTCGATCTAAGCTCGGGCTTGGCGGAGGCGTCTGGTTTCGATGAACAGAGCAAAATTGGAGAGTGGAAGTGGTGGTGGTTGGTCTCTGATACCAGATGTTAGGGCACTAGTAAGATTCTTTCAATCAGTCTCACAAGTTCATACAGATTGAGCTACGGTTCAGTTACAAGATGAATCGATTACACGAAAGGGAATTGAGAGGTAGCAAGTGAGGTAGCCGTCGTGCCTTGCCGTATGATTCTCTGGATGCCTTCACTAGTCTTGCATGGTGGTTGATATAGGCGAGCTGTGGGCTGACTCATTACATCCAGTCAGGCCTAGCAACCCTTGTGTTGGCCTTGCGATTCCTCTTCCTAGTGGAAGCAGTTCCCCAAGTTCTGGACCATCGTCGTCCTCTGCTTGCTTCTTCTCCTTCCTGCTCTGCAACATGGACCTTGTGAGTTCCTTTGTTCCCCGGATCTACTTATCTGGTTACTACAGTAATCATTGAGTGCTGATAGTTTAATAACAGAATTCTGCCAAGTGAACATGAGTATCCAGATGAGATTGTTGTGTAGATAGAATGGAATGGATTGGTGTCTATCATTGTTTGCCTCCTGCCTGCAAGTCTTGACACTCGTGTTGAATCCTACAGACTGGATGTTTGCTCTTCCTGCTACACAAATATCTTTTCTTTAACACTTCTTACGTCCATGGATTACTTCAGTACAGAAAAATTGGAGGATAGAAACAAGCTTTCTTGCAATGCTTGAAAAATAATAAATTGGCTAAAACACTAGAACACTCGCTTGACATGTCATTTAAGGTCTCATTAGGACCAAGGATTAGTCGAGTTTTCTCTTGTTTCATATATGTATCTCCAAATGCCAAGTTTTCTCGCATTCTAACTGAACAAAGGTCGCAATTTATCTCCACGTATATGGCTTGTTCTGCTGGAATGATGCCCTTGTAGCAAGGACATCAGCTACTCTATGTGGAATTATGTTTTTCCTGATGTCTTGTGTGGAATCATTCCTGATACCCAAGAAGGTGTCCTATTGGTTACTTGCCAAGCCAATGCCTTTCGTCATTTCTAAATTAGATGCTATCACATAGTCAAAGTCATCTTTGCCATACAGCCTTGGCTACAATCATTCTGGTAATTTCCAGGTTTTCTTAGCTCTGTGACATATCTTTGCCATACAGCCTTGGCTACAATCATTCTGGTAATTTCCAGGTTTTCTTAGCTCTATGAAGAAAGGGGCCGGCGACTCGTTCTGGGCGAAGTGAAGTGACGTGACGGGTCGTGGGTGGAGGGCTGGTTGCGGAGCACGGGAGGTCTGACTCGCACTCGCTTGCTCATCTGTTCTGCTGCGGGACTCCGGTTGGGTTTGGCCGGTTCAAATCGGACGTGCTCTGTCTGGCACGTCTATGTGGACGTCGTGTTGATGAGTGCAGCAACGATGGATGCTCATCTACTGAAAGTCACGATGAACTTAAGGCGTATCATACATACGTGCTGCTAGATCATTTGAAAAGTTTTGAAGAAAAGACTTGGTCGGTTATCCTTTAATGTTATTGCGTGCGAGATGCTGTGATTAGAGTTGGCCGGAAGCAAATCCAAGTTCATGGTGTGCATGGTTGCACTCACTGATTTTTACTAGATGGTGCCCCGCGTGTTGATGCGGAATTGAAGATTCGATTTCTTTATTCGCAAAAAAGAAGAAGACTTGATTTTGAAAAACTGCATAGAATGTATAAATATATTCATTAAGATTCAAATCATGTGAGAAGTTTAACATTCCACAAGAAAATAAAAGTAATCTTAAGATAAGTGTTTTAGCATTCCACAAGAAAATGCAACATTACCCGCAACAACAACAAAAAAGCAAATGCAACAAGATCTCGGCCGCAAAAAATAGATTTAAAATTCACTTGAGAATATACTAATGCATGTTGCCTGTAGGGAGGTTTCAATCGTAGTTCACACAGGAGATGGGTTTTTTGGGGGGAAAACTTTCGATCTATTCATCATCTGTCAAGGAAGTACAAAGAACATAAGAAGTAAAAAGTACATCCATAGCCCTAAGCCCACCTAGCAACGACTACAAGCATTGGAGCGAGCCGAAGGCACGCCGCCGTCATTGCCCCTCCCTCGCCGGAGCCGAGCAAACCTTTTTGTACTAGATAGTTGGAAAGTCGTCGTGCTAAGGCCCAATAGGACCAACACACCTAAACAACAAACGTCGCCGATAAAGAGAAATGTAGATCGGAAGGATCCAATCTGAAGACGCATGAACACAAACGAACGAAGACCGGATCCAAATGGATCCTCTCAAGACAAACGCCAACCGAATCCCGTGAGATCCGTCAAAGACACATCTCCACGCGCCCTTCGATAGCGCTAGACGCGCCATCATAACAGAGGCTAGATGGGGAGAACCTTATCCCAACTTCAGGTAGCCGCCGCCGCCGTCTTGTCTTCCTGAGCAGAACACAATCCCTGAACAGACACCAAAAACACCTAAAAACGGAGTAGGAGCCCTCCCGCCGGCAAGGACCACGCCGCGGACCAATACAGACCTGCGTTAGATGGCTTTCGCAGTCCGGACAATGTTGTCTGGACGTATGCGAGAGGTTTGAGGGTCGCCGTTGGAGATGCCCTAACACAATTCGCCCATTTAATTCACATTCAGAGCTGATAGGATAAATCTAGCCTTGATGGATGCTTTTCTCTCCCCCACCAAATCTTTCTAGGAAGAGTAAATAAAGTTCATTTAAAATCATTATTGCGTTCATCTTTCCATATGTAGATGAAGAAATGCATAAAAATGATATGTGTTAATACAGAAAATAAAGTGGTAGGGGTATATGCCTCAGAGAGGCTCATTGTCCAACCACCTTTGAGCCATGGCAAAACATTCTTTAGGCCGGTACTCTGGAGCAGTATGACCAGCACCCTGTACAAATAATGAATGATGACCTCTACCATGTTAGAACATGTATGGTTCCCCATGGACATGATTTGGAAAGGAAAACAAGATCACCTTCACTGTGGCAAATGTCATATTGTTTGTGTATTCTATGGTAAATCTACAAAAAAGAAAAGTTGCATCCCATGTCAAAGAGAGTGTGGAGAAAGCTAGCACACAAGGTGTGTGCCATGGAGTTTTTCTTATATATGAAATAGGGAGATGTAAAGACTTAACCCAGCAGCCTGCCCACTAAGATGCCATGCTCTCCATTCATCAACGATCGAAAAGTTCAAGGATCTTATCCATGCTTGTGTGCCAAGAAATGGTGCCTCCAGATCATGGTCTCCACTGCGCTCACAAGTAGTTTTAATCATGAGAGCCAATGTGACTAAGTAAAAAAAAAATCTCACGCCCTTGTTTTTACCTGTACACAAGTGCACGATAACCTCTTGTAGTGAGGTTGAGATGGTATGGTATACTGCTCGGTATCTCATATGTGTAGGGGAGCCCTATGTTGCATTGTATCCACTCATTGGTTGTTCCCTATTGCCAAATTAACTTTCATCAATAATGTTCCAAATGATGTGGATTGGAAAAAGAATTCAGGTGTGCTCCTACATGGTACGTATTAAGCTAAAAGGTCAACTTAAAATCTCAACTTTGCACCAAGTTCTGTTTTGGTATGAAAACTTTGAAATCATCTAAAGAGAAACATACACTTTAGAATTAATAAATTGTGTACACTCGGAAAAACAAAATGCAAATAAAGGCTTGGACAAAGTTGTCAGCTACCAATCTTCTCCTTTTAAACCGGTCGCCCTCACCTTCACCTCCCACTGTTAGCAAACATGTGTATTGTATATATGTCGCAGCCATCCAACAGACACTAGCTTTATTGGATGTTATGTTAGTGCAAACCACTTGATGTCAATGGATGTTATAAAAGTGTCTGGCATATTTAGATGTTTTAAAAAAATTCACGAGTAAATATAGAGTTGATGCAAAGTCCAAGATTCAAAAGGTGATGATTTTCTTTACTTTTTTCTACTTCTACAACATTTTTTACCCTATCGTGTCTAATTTTATATCTAAAGAAGTTAAAACTACATAATGATACCTTTGGATGCATACTCTATGAAATAAGTTTCATGCAAAAGATATAGTGTGTACCTCCTTGATCCCAAGAGCTTTTCTAGTCATGTTGTTGTTCATCCAAAAGTAAGCTAGGTAATAACCATATGTCTGCAATTTAGAAAATAATTCTAGATAAGTTTGTGCTACGAGAACAACATCATGTGACATATTTCACATTCATCGGAATTCGTATATCAAATTGACACTTCATGGATGAAGAGAGACTGACAAAACAATCTACAGTTGGACGAGCAGGTGGCGTGTTTAACTGGGTAGATTCTTCCAACAAAAACTTTCTTCTTGAAGCATCATCTATGGTCTTTGGCGCAACTACGTCACACTTGTTGTACAAGATGTGTTCAATTGAAATTTCAGAAATGAGCTGCGATAGAAGGGAAGTGCATTAGATGATGTTGGAAATACCATACTAGTTCATAACAATAGAGAAATACATGAATCTTACATTATTGATAGTATGCAACACTTCAACACACATTTTGTTCACGGGGGTAACATAATCTCCTTTGCAATTCTTCACCGCACTCTTCACAAAAAGGAACCATGCTACAACTTCTTAGATCAAAGCATACTACAAAAAGATATCACATGATATTGTTGAAGTGTTCAAATGTGGCATCACCTCATATATTTGATCAGATATTATCCCAAAGCCATGAGCACTTGGAATTTTGTAATTTTCATCAAACTTTGGATCTGTTATAGGGTTGCCAACCATATATCCCTGAAATAATTGCATTAACACGTCAATAGAATAAATGCATGGTCTCACACTCTTTTCCATTATATTGTCGTTGTCGATGTAAATGTTCAAAGGATAGATAATAACTTGCCTTGAGATTGATAACAGGTTGTTGCCTCACGTCAATTCCTGGAGCATATTATAATCAAGAGGTAAGTCCACATTACCTCCTCAACTCTTGGTGAAATTCCAAATTACCCGCCTCGATTCATATGACAACTCTAGAAAAACGTTCTGACTGTAACCCCCTGGCAGGTTTTACCGTTTTTGCCCTATGTGGCGGACAAGACATCATTACCATGTCATCAGCTCTCTCACCTTTGTCCATGTTAGAATTTGAGGCAACAACATACACATTTACTTTATCCTAAAAATGTGCAAACAGTTTCAAATTCAAACAACCGAGTTTTTTTATCATTTTTTTATTTTCTCAATTGTTTGGGATTTCATCCAAACTTTGAGGTATAAATCTTGAACAATATCATCTTGTAAAATAGTTTGTCTAACTGAGCTTAAATTTTAGTAATTGGCTTATAGAATTATCTATGTTTTTTTATAGTATTCATAATGGTTTGAAATTTTGGTCAACTTGAGGTGCCATTTTAATATATTTTTCTCATCAACTATTTGTGAAAATGAATTGAACCATTGGCCCAGTGAATTATTTTTCTCTAGTGTAAATTAAAACCTATAGATCATATGCAATATTTTCCAAAAGTTTCAATTATACTAGTTTTCTTTATAAAAACAAATGGAAAGGAAAGATATTGTGACGATCAAGTTGTGGCTTCCACGTAAGCAACACCAATGGAAACTGGAGGAGGGTTATAATGTGGAGCATATTTTGATGTTTTTCACATAAAGTTAGTAATGTGAGCTCCATCTTTAGAATCAAATCCAGATCTTTATGACTCGAAATTTTGTACAAAAACATATGATTTTGTAGTTCCTTTCGAACCGCTTGTCATAATACATTCAGGAATGCGCATAGATGTGCAATGCTGTAAAGAGCTACTCCCTCTGTTCCAAAATAGATGACTCAACTTTATACTAACTTTAGTACAAAGTTGGGTCATCTATTTTGAAACAGAGGGAGTAATAATTACCTTCTGAAATGCCTTGTCCAATAAGTGGAATCACCTTTCCAGCATATGAATCTCCACCAATGTAGAAAGGATTTGAAAGGTATTGCGGGTGATCCGTGAACCACTACACAACCACGATTAGAGCGGCCAATAATCAATGCACCGAAGTTCTCCATTCAAAACAAAAACAAAATATTTGCGAGACCATTCAAAACTATATGACGGTACGACATGCCTCTCATCACCTTATTCAGAAATGTTTGGACCTGCGAAGATGATGAGTAGTCCCCAACATCGTAGCCTTTGGGATCACGAGCGAACGAAAAACCTGAACCCACCGGTGAATCCAACAGGAGTATGTTTGCCATCTAATCAAGAATTGTCGTCAGTGAACCATAAAACTGGTCAAAAATGAAATGCATTGCGACGAGCATCTCAGGGAGACAGTGACATCAATAATCATCAATAATCTCTCACCTTTGTCCATGAATATGGGTTATACACCAACTCCGGCAAACCGCCACTATACGGTGCCAACACAAACTTCAGAGGACCTACGGTGCAAAACAATGGCGGATAGATGAATACGAGCAGCAACTAGTACGCATGTCAGAAATTGGAAGCCCAATTTGGTGAACTGACCGATTTCAAAGGCCAGGCCCATAATGACCGAGCAGCGGGGACCGCCGGTGAGCCATAGGAGCAGTGGGTCCGTGCCGGGGCTCCTCTCCGACTCGACGAAATAGTAGAAGAGCTCCGCCCCGGCCTCCTCCTCCACGCCCACGTATCTGCAACGCACGGGCACTCCGGCCATGAATCCGGCGCCATTTCAACCAAGCTTAGCCGTGGAGGCACGCACCTAGAGCTTACCCTGTTTCAAGGTTGAAGGGCAGAGGGCCATCGAATCCTGGCAGGTGGGTGACCACCGTCGCCGCCGCCGCCAACGCCGGGCGTGAGGGCGGCAGGAGCAGGAGGGCGGGGACGAGATGTAGCAGCAGCAGCGGCGGCAGGAAGTGGCATTGCCCGGCGGTACGCAGCCGGAGAAGCTTCAAGGACATTCTCTCTCTCTCGTCCTTTCTTGGTGCTTCTACTAGGCACACAGCCGTACCTGTACTGCTGTCTGCTGCTCCAATCAATTTGGATCCGATCTGAACACCAACGTAAGAAGCGTGGAAGGCATTGTCACGTGGAGGAAGTGGTTGGCATGTCACCTTTTTCTTTTGGAAAAGGAAAGCTCACCTGCTTATTCATTTCCGTCGACAGGAGAATGTTTTCTCGACCAGAATATATAACAAGTAGAGATGAAAAACCAGTGTATATATATATATATACAAGATTTTGTCCAAGTACAGCGAACAGGAAAGGGAAAGACCGAATCCTCATTATACAGAGTACTCCATCTGTCCTAAAATTTAAGACAATTTTTTACATTTTTAATAGTGTAGAAAGTGATTTTAAATTGTGAGACGAAGGGAGTAACTATTTTTGGGGCATCTCTAAATGAATTTAACTCCTTAAACACCTTTTTAAACTTTAACTTGTTTTTTTATTAAAAAAACTCCTCGAAACCGAGGAGTTTAAAAAACATGGACCTAGGTGTTTTGTCATCTTGTCCTACTTTTGCCGGTTATGCAACTTTTATTCTAACTTTACTTTTTTAGCTCCGAACGAGCTTGTACCACATGGCAGACTTTTTGGATATTTGCTTCATACAAGATGACTGCATGCATCATTATGATGTAGTGGACGTGGACGGAAGGTAATCTTCATTTTCTAAAAATGTGCCCCCCCCCCCCACACACACCCTATTTCGACTCAACACTAATGCCTCTTTATTGAACCCTTGTTGAAGTCAACAAGAATCGGAAATGTTAACGCCCACACGTGTGGGCGTTTGCATCTCGCCCACACGCGTGGATCCGCGTCCGTTCGTAAGCGCATGAATCTTGGCATGTTTCTAATGTCACGTAGGACTGGCCTGGTGTGTGGGCGTTCACCCGGTCGCCCACACGGCCGTTTCACCACACGGGAGGGGCTGGTGTGTGGGCGAGATGCAGTTCGCCCACACGCCACTTTGCACGCACGCACAAGGGCTAGTGTGTGGGCATTTGCCATCTCGCCCACACGCCCGTCTCCTCTCCCACACCCAAGCTGCTAGTTGCCATGTGTTTTGCAGTGCACATGGCAACTGCCCCTAGTGTGCTTTATAAGAAGGTGGCAACTCTTTTTTTTACCCGAGTTGCCATGTGTTTTTGCAGGGTACACGGAAACTGCCTAGTGTGCAAGTAAGCAGATGGCAACTCTCTTTTACCGAGTTGTCATGTGTTTTTGCATGGTACATAGCAACTGCCATAATGTGCACGTACATGGCAACTGTCCTAACGCGCACGTAAGCAGATGACAACTCTTTCTTTTACATGGCAACTGCCCTAGCATGCTTGTGAGCACATGGCAACTCTCTCAACTGCCCATGTATGATTGTGACCATACATGGCAACTGCAGTTGAGCAACCATGGCAACTGCAGTTGTCCGACATGGCAACCGTAGTTCAGCGACATGGCAACTGCATTTAAACGAACATGGACGAGGGTCTGGACCATGGCACTTGCGGGCGCGGTGATTGTCACGCGTGGCATGCGAGACCAGGAGGTACGAGGCCTGACATACGTGCGTGTGGGAGTTATCAACTTAGCCCACATGCATGCGTGTGAGAGGGATCGGAAGGAAAAAAAAGAGGTGTGTGGGCATTACTTGTTTTGCCCACACGTAGGTGTGTGGGCTGTTCCTCTTATACACCACACAAAATGTGTGGGTGAACTCCCTAACGCCCACACGTGTGGCACTTATCGGCGTCCATAAGAATATGGTTGATCTCTACTCCCATCTGGCAAGTGCCACTAGCTATCAAATCCCAACAACATTTTCCCCATCTTCCCAAGGAAAAAACTCCGAAAAACCTATTGCGAGCCTATTTATAAGACTGATGATAGGTCTGTTGGAAATATGCCCTAGAGGCAATAATAAAAGGATTATTATTATATTTCCTTGTTCATGATAATTGTTTATTATTCATGCTATAATTGTGTTATCCGGAAATCGTAATACATGTGTGAATAAATAGACCACAACATGTCCCTAGTAAGCCTCTAGTTGACTAGCTCGTTGATCAACAGATAGTCATGGTTTCCTGACTATGGACATTGGATGTCGTTGATAACAGGATCACATCACTAGGAGAATGATGTGATGGACAAGACCCAATCCTAAGCATAGCGCAAGATCGTGTAGTTCGTTTGCTAGAGCTTTTCCAATGTCAAGTATCATTTCCTTAGACCATGAGATCGTGTAACTCCCGGATACCGTAGGAGTGCTTTGGGTGTACCAAACGTCACAATGTAACTGGGTGACTATAAAGGTATACTACAAGTATCCCCGAAAGTATCTGTTGGGTTGACACGGATCGAGACTGGGATTTGTCACTCCGTATGACGGAGAGGTATCTCTGGGCCCACTCGGTAATGCATCATCATAATGAGCTCAAAGTGACCAAGTGTTTGGTCACAGGATCATGCATTACGGTACGAGTAAAGTGACTTGCCGGTAACGAGATTGAACGAGGTATTGAGATACCGACGATCGAATCTCGGGCAAGTAACGTACCGATTGACAAAGGGAATTGTATATGGGATTACTTCAATCCTCGACATCGTGGTTCATCTGATGAGATCATCGAGGAGCATGTGGGAGCCAACATGGGTATCTAGATCCCGTTGTTGGTTATTGACTGGAGAGTCGTCTCGGTCATGTCTGCATGTCTCCCGAACCCGTAGGGTCTACACACTTAAGGTTCGGTGACGCTAGGGTTATAGAGATATTAGTATGCGGAAACCCGAAAGTTGTTCGGAGTCCCGGATGAGATCTCGGACGTCACGAGGAGTTCCGGAATGGTCCGGAGGTAAAGAATTATATATAGGAAGTCCAGTTTCGGCCACCGGGAAAGTTTCGAGGGTCACCGGTAATGTACCGGGACCATCGGAAGGGTCCCGGGGGTCCACCGGGTGGGGCCACCTATCCCGGAGGGCCACGTGGACTGAAAGGGGAAGGGAACCAGCCCCTTGTCGGCTGGTGCGCCCCCCCTTGGGCCTCCTCTGCGCCTAGGGTTGGAAACCCTAGGGGTGGGTGATGGGGTTATGTACCTAGGGTAGGGTCATGAACCTGATCTAAGTACCTTACCCAAGGACACCCTTAGAAGAGGTCGCCTTCCAGTCGACCAACAAGGGACACACTCGACTGACTTGAAGGACTCGACCACGAAGACCCACTCGACCACCAGAAGGTCAAGAGGCACTCTGCACTGCAACGGCCTGTAATCAAGTAGACTTTATGATAGTAAAGACACTTTATGTGGGGCGTTACCAGTAACGCCCCAGACTTAACTCACCTTAAACCCTCTCCTACGTGGGCTGGCTGGGGTCCTGGCGCACTCTATATAAGCCACCCCCCTCCACAGGCAGAAGGGTTCGGCACCTTGTAATTCATATACTCATAATCCACTCGACCACCTCCGGGCTCCGAGACGTAGGGCTGTTACTTCCTCCGAGAAGGGCCTGAACTCGTACATCCTTTGTGCTTACAACCTCTCCATAGCTAGGACCTTGCCTCTCCATACCTAACCCCCACTCTACTGTCAGGCTTAGAACCACGACAGTTGGCGCCCACCGTGGGGCGGGTGTTTTAGCGATTTTGTGGAGAAGTTGCGATTCTTCCGAGTACTTTCATCATGGTGTCTGCTGGAGCTTTGGTCGGGGGTCAAGAGATCCGTCTCGGCACTCTCACCTTCTTCGCCGACGACTCCGCGTGGCTCCATGATGCTCCGCTCGACGTTGATGCGCTCCCCGTCCGCGGTGCGACGCATTTTTGTGCATATGTCCGCGGCGTTCGTGCATATGTCATCGGTCGACCCCTCCATCGTCCACCCTCCCGGTATCCCGCCAGCGCAAGCGCTCGGGTCGGTCGAGGCTTCAGCGATGGGTGAGGCACGCGGTGGCTCGCCAATCGGCCACCACCCAAGTTGCGGCAATCGAGCCCGAGGAACCTCTCTACGGCTTGTTCGATCTGTCGACTGGCTCCGTAGAGACTGCATCCGAGTGCGGTAGCAGTGATCCAGCGGCGGAAATCTTGATGGTCGACGGGCCCCACAGTCCCCCTGGCTTCGCCCGTGGTGGTGGAGCAGGTGACGGCGGCGACCCTACACGAGGCTACGAAGAGTACCAGCCCGAGCCACTCGACTCTCTGCAAAGAGAGGAACTTCGCCGCAGGAACGAGGATCCCCTGCGTATTCCCATCGCAGGAGAAACCCCCGAGGCTCGTGCCTTGGAGGAGGCGCGTCTGGCCAATTTGGCCGAGCGCACTCGACTGGAGAACCTTCAGCGAGCTCTCGACGAGCGCGCGCGGCAACGAGTTCCCGACAACAGTCGACGTCAACTCTTCCCGCCGACTCAGGTATATCGAACCCCAATTCAGAATTTAGCAGCTGCGACCCGTATAGCAGAGTCCATCCAGCCTTCGCAGTCGGAAGCTGGCAGAGGTTTGCTGCAGATCAGGGATCTGCTCCGGGCAGCAGGAGATCAGAATTCAGCCGTGTCTCAGTCGCGCAACAGAATTCACAGTCGATCCGTCACTGTGAATACGGTTCAGTCGGCTCATAGCCCCAGATCGCCTCCGCGGCGTGAAGGGCGCGAGAATCGACGAGATCAATATGGCGACAGACTCGACCGAGATGATAGGCGTCGAGTGCCCTATTCCCCTCCGAGGGGTGGGTCTTACGCTCCTCGGTAGCCAGATGATAGGCGTCAGTACAGTACAGGGCATAGGGTTCCAGTCGACCCCAGAGAACCAGGCTTCAACGCGCGATCCATTATCGTGCAAGGGTTGGTTGACCGGAACAGAGCCCATCGAGGTGGACTCGACAGAGATGTACCCACAAGCAGTCGAGTGCATGTTTCTGGTCCTGAATGTTTCAGCAGAGCTATCAGAGCCGCAGTTATCCCTCCCAAT